GGGTAGGGTGGGAGAGCCAAGGCTGGGTTGGTGGGGAATGGGCTGGAGTCCCAGGACTGCTGGACTGGGTTGGGTTGGGTTGGAGTTGAGTTCAGGTTGGAGTTGAGGACTGAGGTTAGGTTGGTTGGTGGAGTTGAGCTGAGCTGAGTTAGGCAGGGCAGGGTTTGGTTATACTAGGTTAGGTTTGGCTAGGTTACAAATCTTAAGGCAAGGCGTTTATTCTTCAGGAGCAAAACAGTAACACAGGTCTTTCATATTTGGTAAAGACATTTCAAAAGAGGAGGAGGAGAAGAAGAAGAGGGGGAGGAGACAGAAGAAGAGAAGAAAGAGAAGGAAGAAGAAGAGAAGGAAGAAGAGAAGGAAGAAGAGTAGAAGGAGGTAGAGTATAAACTGAGGTAAGTCAGGTGTGTCAGGTGAACGAGCTCGGGGTTCTTAAGAGGCTGGTAAGATCAATAGTTTCTCGTATGTGAAAATGTATACCTAACTGTCTGACTTAAGACACACACACACACACACACACACACACACACACACACACACACACACACGAATAATTATAAAAAAAATAAAATAAAAAATAAAAAAGTATATAAAAAATAAAACCAATAATTCAAATAGAGATTCTTTGTAAAAAATATATATATATAGTTAAACTTTCTTGGATGTATCAAACCCGTGTGAATATGATACTAGTTAACGTTAATTTTTGTGTTTAACCTCAATTCAACTGGTTAGGTTAGGTTAGGTTAGGTTAGGTAAGGTTAGGTTAGGTTAGGTATACATTATTATATACACCACAAATCACAATGAAACATAAGAACAAAGGAAACTACAGAAGGTTTATTGGGACCAGAAGAGGCGAGCAGCTCCTGTTTACACCCGGCCATTATCACTCACACATCTGTCCAAACCTTATATTTGTAACTTTCCAACGAGTTCTGAGGTGATGATGGTGTTTGGTAAGTTGTAACACTCGTTCATAACTGTACAGTGCCCCCCCTCCCTCGTGAGATCCTGGGACCAGCGTTGGTTGGTTGGGGTAGTGAGTCAGGAGGGGTGAGGTGGGTGAAGGGGGAAGTGAGTCAGGTGGGGGTGGTCTGGGTGGTGGAGGGTAGGTCATGGAGTGCGTTGGAAGGGTGAGTCAGCAGATGAATTGAAGGTGGTCAGGTGGTGGAGGGGTGGTCAGGAGGTGGGTGGAGGGTGGAGTCAGGTGGGTGGAGGGGTGGAGTCAGGTGGGTGGAGGTGAGTCAGGTGGGTGAAAGGGGGAACTGATCTGGTGGGTGAAAGGAGTGAGTCAGGTGGGTGAAAGGAGATTGAGTCAGGTGGGTGAAAGGGGGTGGAGTCAGGTGGGTGAAAGGGGGTGGAGTCAGGTGGGGCTGAAAGGGGGTGAGTCAGGTGGGTGAAGGAATTGAGTCAGGTGGGTGAGTCAGGTGGGTGAAAGAATTGGAGTCAGGTGGGTGAAAGGGGGTGGAGTCAGGTGGGTGAAAAGGGGGTGAGTCAGGTGGTGAAAAGAGGTGAGTCAGGTGGGTGAAAGAGGTGGTCAGGTGGGTGAAAAGGGAGTGGAGTCAGGTGGGTGGGTGGGTGAGGTGTGTCAGGTGGGTGGGTGAGGGTGTGTCAGGTGGGGGGGGAGTGAGTCGGGTGGGTGAGAGTGAGTCAGGCGGGCGGGTGGGTGGGTGGGTGGGTGGGTGGAGGAGTGGAGTCAGGTGGGTGGGTGAGGGAGTGGAGTCAGGTGGGTGGGTGAGAGTGGAGTCAGGTGGGTGAGGGAATGAGTCGGGTGGTCTGCTGCACGTGACACCCAGGAATGTCAACAGCAACACTGATAAGATAACGGTACTCGAGTATCTATATGTAACCCCCCACACACACACACACAGGTCAAGGAGCACTTAATACCTCACACAGCAGGTACAACATAAGGCTCTCTCTTACCTCAACAACACAACTCAAAAGTCTTCTTCATCTTCCACTCATTCACAACTGATGCCAATGGAGGGTCTCTCTCTCTCTCTCTCTCTCACAAATACAACATCAACGACAGTTTTGTGTAGTTTATTATCTTTACATATTTTATTGTTGATTTATGGACTATTTTCCTCGTTATTATTATCATCATCATCGTCAGCTTTATTACTAATATAATCATTTGATGCTTAGTTCACGTATAGGTACAAGCAAAACAATATACTCAACGCTGTGATAATATTCCCCTTTAATACCGACCCTCGCTAAGTATTGGTTTTAAGTACAGAGCATTTTTTTTTATATATGACATTTCGACAACACCGCACGATTCGGGGTTCACACTACAGTTTGATTCGAAACAGTTCCAGAATCACCATAGCTCTACAGAGTCAATCAATATTACCCTACAACGTGATTCGAACCAGACCCAGAATCATTATAAAACCTTCCCTCTTGATTCGAAGCTGTCCCAAATTAGAACCCTATAACACAACTTGATCCGAACCCCTTCCAGTAAATGGTTCGAAGCAATTCAAAATCAATACCAACATCATCCCACTGCTTCAAAACTTTAACCCTGGATCTAGCAGTTGAGAAAAAATAAATAAAATACAAATAATAATAATGTCGACGCCATTCATGCCTCCCAATTATGACTCCCTGTATGTCACCGGAATCACTGGTGGCCAAGACGTTTCCTATTAATAAACTCGACAGAATTCAGTGACCCAGTTTGTTTACGGTCAATACCCCACCCCCCCGTCTCGTCTCGTCATCTCTTTCAGTCGACCTCTTCAAATTATACGACTAACCTCTCTCTCTCTCTCTCTCTCTCTCTCTCTCGGACGATGACAAGAAGATGATGAAGGAGGAGATGAGAAGAAAAAGAAGAAGAGAAAATAAGAGAAAATATATTCACCAAGATATCGCATATCAAGGAGAGCAACAACACGATGAAGGAGGAGGAGGAGGAAAAAGAGAATGGAGAAGAGAAGGAGGAATAAAGATATGTACGTAGCTCCTTAATTCAGGCATAAACCCTAAACATTACGTGTAGACCTGCATGCATACACACACACACACACATACATCGTGACGGACAGGAACGTACATCAACAATACAAGACACTACGGCGCGCCTCCTTCCCTCCCCAACACATGGCAATAAGCTAGGGCACACACACACACACACACACACACACACGGGGTAGATAGCTATAGTGGTGATCCTCCTCTGCTAACAACACGCAACACTGGGCCCCATTGTTTAACCAACCATTGTCCGTGTTCACCCTGGGAGCCCGGAGCCAGGACGCGTGTTGGCATGAATTATTAGTACTCAGGAGATCCAACAGCACCCCCCCCCTCACCCACCCCTTGCCCCTTCCTTTCCCCTACTCCTCCTGACCTGTCCACAACTACCTGAGGACATCTAACTACCCCCCTCCACCTGACTGACATGTCCACAACTACCTCGGGACACCAACATGGTAAAGATGCGTCTTAATGGAAGCTTGAATCACCGCGCCCCATAAATAAATACCGGGTAATACAGTTAAGAACGTGTATAATCTCCGTTTGATAAGTGCTATCACCCGCCCTAAGGCCACTTAAGACCAAGGGGCAGCATGTGACAAGTGACCCCCTCCCCCTCCTCCCAAGGTACTGTGGCCGCCTTGTGTGATGAACAGCTGACTCCTATATTCTTCTATGTCTGCTCAACCTTTCTTTTCCTTTCCTAATCACCCCCTGTAACCTCTGCCTTTCCTCCTTCTTGCCTCACCTCCACCTCTTGCCTCACCCTCCTCCACTCTCCTACCCAAACTCACCACCACTAACCTCCCTCCTAACTCCATGTGCCCCCTCCCACCTCTCCCAACACACCCTTATACCCATTCCACTTAACTACAGCAGACCTACCCCAGGTACACACATTCCTGGTACAACAGTCATCCACACTCTCTCATACCCCTTGTCAATCATCACACACTAGGATGTAACAGTGGCCCATCCCAGTTCGCAACCCTTCAACCACCCAGCCATCCTCTCCTATCTTACACCTAACCCCCACCTCCTTCATAGGCAGCCAATCATTGTACAGTTATGTCCAAGGAGTCGAGAGAGAGAGAGAGAGAGAGACTACCTGCTCCACCTCATCAACGCCACTCCCCTGACAATTACACACCGCCAACCTGGGCTACGAGCGCCGCCCCCTCCACCCTCACCACATCGTCCTTCCTCAGCCACACCACCCTCAGACCACACCGTCCTTCCTCAGCCACACCACCCTCAGACCACACCATCCTTCCTCAGCCACACCGTCCTTCCTCAGCCACACCACCCTCAGACCACACCATCCTTCCTCAGCCACACACGGTTCACCCCCTCCCTCCCTAGTACTCTTATCCCCTAAACCTTGCGTCCTTAACACCACCTAAAAAGGAGTCCTAAAACTACACCAGGAATTTCTTTACCCCAAAAATTACTTCCTAAAACCATCTCAAAAATTCTTAATCTAAAATTGCCTCCCAATTCCACTTCTGTAAACTATGTACCTAAATTAACCACCAGCAAATACTTTAAACTAAAATCGTACCTAAAACCACCCCCCAACAAAAGCATTAGCTCCCTAAAATCACCCCCCCCCCAGCAAACTAGTTCCCTAAAACCGGACCCAAAACACGAACCAAAATCGTTCCCCGCTATGCAAAGCCACGCACGACCTCTCACCTTTATGAATGACGAACTTTACGAAGAAAAAGAGGAAGAGGAAGTCAGACAGGTACGGCACAGGCAGGTATCTCCACCCCGCCTCACCTGTTATCTGAGGGGAAGGGGGTGTGTGAACTATGCCGATACATTAATTAACTCTAGGTGTGTGAGATAATGTTCAGTCTATTCCTCATAACATTGGCTGGACATCAGGTATATTTCGAGAGGGGAGGGGGGGGGGAGGTAGGCACTAAGAGACGAGGGGAGGTTGACACAGTGACATAGGGATGACTCGTAGAGGGAAGGGTGACACACACAGTACCTACCTTGTTAGCGACGAGCAGTATGGGGACGCGGTCGGTATTCTTGACCCGGGTGATCTGGTCCCTCATGCCTTTAATGTCCTGGAAGGTCTGGTGATTGGTCATGGAGTACACCACCACGAAGCCCTGGCCATTACGGATGTACAAGTCCCGCATGGAGGCAAACTGCTCCGTGCCCGCCGTGTCCAGGATTTCCAACACGCACGGGGAAGTGTCCACCTCTATCTCCTTGCGGTAGAAGTCCTCGATGGTGGGGTCGTACTTCTCCATGAAGCACCCGGACACGAACTGGACCGTGAGGGCGGACTTGCCCACCCCGCCGGAACCCAGCACCACTACCTTAAACTCACGCATTGTGTTGGCCTAACATTCACACGTGTTATTCACGGAAAAAAAAACACCTTTTAAGTATTGGACGCACTAGCACAGGAGACAGGGTCCTGGGCAGCAGCAGCACCACCACCACCAACCACTCCGCCTGCTCCACCACAACCGCCGCCGCCGCCACCACCACACCACCACACACACCCACCAACACCACACTGCTGCTGGTCCTTCCCTCACGTGGTGGTCTTGTGCACCGAGCTTGTGCTGCTCATCAGCATCATTGTCTCATCCTAGACTCCTGTAAACAACAAACAAAGCATCGTTAATACACAACCTTACAAACAAGTAAACAATTAATACATGGATAACATAAACAATCACACACACTCAATGTTAACAACTACAATTAAGTTAGGAAGCAATAAACGGCCTCTACCACACTGATATATGCTGACACTAATGACTTGCACTACACTGCGCTGCACTACGCTACACTGCACTACGCTACACTGCACTACAGTACACTACGCTATCTTCATATAACAAGAGAATTACAGAAGCAAAGAAACCAAATAAGAATTATTAAGCAACTATTGCAACACCCGATTTGTGATATAACCTTTATCAACAAGATAAATAAGTCTTTGTATTACAGTACAGTTCCTTGTTGCCCAAACACTTGAGCAACAGGAGGCCTCCAGATGCCAAGTCTACCAGTAAAGCGGAAAATTAAAACCCAACTCAACTCTGTATACCATTCCATGTATCACAAAACAGTAAAATTAAAATAACAAGTAATAAGCTTTCAATTAATTATCATATCACCTCATTAATCCCAAAGAACAATATGACGACTCGGAATATTATAAATAAAAGTTTCAGTAATATAAATTTTCAAATAACTTACGTCACTTCACACACACACACATGACGTCAAGGCACCAGATCTCTTTAAAAATGATCTAGAACACTGGTTAAAAACATGTTATCACCAGATAGGAATCATATACACATACACTGCCTCAACATAATCTCTCAGGTGGAGTTAGTGGAGGAAGATTAAGAAGATTAGAATGATAAAACTTGTACCGATTAGCTAATAACTGAGATAAACTGATATAATAGGAATAAACACAGACACAGACACAAAAGCCGATAAAAGTTGGTAAGAAGGAAATAAACACAAAATAGAATCTAGGAATATTTAGTGGAAGCAATTGTGTTTGAGTATAACCCCAATAAACAAGAAACAGCTACACACAAACAACATATATGATGCACTAGTTCCATACGTAAACAAACAACAATTGCCAAGTCACTCAATCGCATAAACAAACAAAAACAGCTGATCAAGTAGGTAGTAAACATCGGTACCAACGTAATCTCATCGTAAACAAAAAATCAGCTGACAAACACACACGCAGCGAAGCAAACAACACGCTACATAATACTGATAAATTTTCTCCAGCATAAGAAAACACGTGAAAACAACTGATACAGAGTGTTACACTGTCGTCAAAATACACAACAAAGGAGGAGCGTGTTACTGAGGCAGCCGGCTGTACAGTACAATACCACAATGCAACACAAGACAACACAACATAACGCAACACAACAACACATAGGAGTTAGTAAGAGGGCGTCCATGGGGCAATAATGGGACCAACAAGCAGGTGGTGCCGCTAGAGTATTCACCACCTCACTCACTCAACGCTTTAATACAGACACGAGCCAGAGCCACACACACGAGCCAGGGCCACACACACGAGCCAGGGCCCCTCTCTCTCACACACACACGAGCCAGGGCCCCTCTCTCACACACACACGAGCCAGGGCCCCTCTCTCTCTCACACACACACATACACACACGAGCCAGGGCCCCTCTCTCACACACACACGAGCCAGGGATCTCTCTCTCTCTCTCTCACAGACCCTTGTCACCCGTTAAAACATTATAATGCAACTTTTTGAACCATGAACTAGACTCCCTGTCACCCGTCAAGACATCACTGTTAACTTAGCACCTGCATGGATGGATGTCTGTGACCCGTCAAAAAATTACACTACCACTGTCACTCAATCCGTCAAGACATTCCTGTAACTAACTTGTCACTATCTTGCCACCATCCATCACAATCCCTTAGCTTGACAACAACACATCCCTGACACACTATCCTCACTCACAACACACTTCAACACATCCTTAACTTTATATTCCTGTTATTCTCACATCTTTATTGACGTCGTTAACAATATGCCTGGCTGTGTGGCTGGCAGGATATTACACAATGTTCCACGCTGATAACCCGAGGTGTGGGGGGGTTGAGGCGTCTCCTATCACATTCCTGCGTGAGAAAGCTGCGTGATCCATGTTGACGTCTTAAGATTATCCACTCCAGCTTATTTCACCTGAAGAGTCTCCCCTCCCTCCCAGCTTATTTTACCTGAAGATTCTCCCCTCCCTCCCAGCTTATTTCACCTGAAGATTCTCCCCTCCCTCCCAGCTTATTTCACCTGAAGATTCTCCCCTCCCTCCCAGATTACTTCACCTGATGTCAGGATGGTTAATCTTTTAAGTGAAACACGAGAGAGAGAGAGAGATCGCCAGGTAATCCCAATGAGGAACATATAAACACACAAATAAACTCGAGTAGGACTTGTGTCGAGGAGGAAGAGGGGAGGAGGAGGTAACATATCCCACGAGGTATCGGTGTCTCAAGACTGATAGAACGGCACACTCCTTAACACCGTATTCAAGTGTATATTAGTAAGACACTAGGTACAGCTTGTGTTGACCACGTACAGCTTGTGACGTTAGAGGAGTTATAAAACGTGTGTGTGTGTGTGTGTGTGTGTGTGTTTTGTTTTATCTATGGCAACATCCCTAACGTAACTCTCACATCACTCACCCGCCGCCACATCCATAACACTACTCTCACATCACTGTCACCCGCCGCCACATCCCTAACGTAACTCTCACATCACTGTCACCCGTTGCCACATCCCTAACGTAACTCTCACATCACTGTCACCCGCCGCCACATCCATAACACTACTCTCACATCACTGTCACCCGCCGCCACATCCCTAACGTAACTCTCACATCACTGTCACCCGTCAACACCTCCCTAACACTAACACACAACCTTCCTACGACAGCTTTGAAATGCAACAAAAAGGCGCGTTAAACTTGGCTGACCAAATACACAACGCGCGATTAACCAGAGCCATTCATCACGACGTCCCACCCCTCTCGCTCTCTCTCTCCCTCTTCAAAAAACACTTGGCCCATTCCACCTCCTGAACGATTTACTGTGTAATTACCTTGTTCGCCTCCTCGGATCTTCTGTTTAGTTCACTCGCCGAGAAAATTCGTGTGTGTGTGTGTGTGTGTGTGTGTGTGAGAGAGAGAGAGCCTTGTACAGCCGTCAGTATTATAGTGCTAAATGTGTTGTGGGAAGAAACAGACGGAGGGAATAAGGAGGGAGGGAGGGGAGAAGGAAGTGAGGGAGGAAGGCAGAAGGAGGAAGAGGACTGGAGGGAGCAGCAGCTGGGGTGGGTGAGTGGGGATCAGGGAGGAGCCAGGGGCGGGGTAGGGAGCGGGGAGGGACCAGGGGCGGAGCTGTGACTAATCAACACTCATATTTCACCCACTCTAACCACCGCCATGATCAAACTATCTCGGGGGTGTGTGAGAGCCGCGTTAGACTCACCACAACCCACTCACTGCCTCATAATAATTCCAGTCTGGGGGACCATAAAGACGTGGTATGACTGGGGGCGCCTACGATGACCAGTACCACTCCTATCAACAGTGGTGGCGGCCATGTGGTGATGGTGGTGGCCATGTGGTGGTGGAGGTTGTGGTGATGGTGGTGGCCATGTGGTGGTGGATGTAATGTGGTTGAGTTTGAGCAGGTCATGGTGGTGGAGCCAACACCAGACTAACCGGCGTAAAACTCGACAAAGACGTCCCTCCTACACACACAGCTGGTGTCTCTGCCGCCCCTACACACCTCAACAAAGGCTTCCACTTTCACTGGGGCGGGCGGAGAATCTCTTACGTTGCCCGTGTGAGTAAAACCAGTCTCGGTAAGGCCACACAAGTACGAGCTGATCCAGTAATTAATGCCACTTACCAATCAACAATACCAAAGACAGCTGTAGCTCATCCAGGTCACTAGAACTACCACCTGGTAACGCCTTCCTACCCTGTATGGATACTCGTTAAACAACCAAGTTACTTTGTACTTGATAACAGTTCTTAATGTATAACAATACCTGTCCAACACACCTGTCTCTTATTCCCGACCAGGGAGGAAGACTGCACCAACATACGGTATTCAACTGCACGTCTACAGTGTGAATTTCCCATACAGATGGGGCAGACGATCGTCTCGGCTAGAGGTCTTCTTGCCCCAATAAATGATGCAAGTGTGTCAAACAACCATCTGCCTGGCACAGTCTACTGCCTCAACACACACACACACCAGGAGCGCCAGAACAGCCACCAAACCGGGATGTAAGTGAGCGTGACCATGTCAGCTGCTGCCGTTAGGATGCAAGGTCACACTGCCAGGGTAATGCCACGCCCCCTACACCAGTGCAGCCCACAGTGGAGTCAACACTACTCCCTCGCCCTAGGAAGGAGGAAGACTGTTGAATAATCTCCTGAAGGCTGTCCACAATAGATGAGGAAATGTTGGTTCCCCAGCTGCCCTGCCGGGTGACTGGACACTCCCTGCATGACGCCACAACACGAGGAACTCTTAGTCATGCCGTCCGCCGCACACAACCAGAATGTCATGTGAAGGAGGAGAGGCATTCATGATTCACTCCCCCAGCAGCTGTCACCCACTCTTGTCACCCAGTTCACCTTACAATGAGAGGATAACCGACACCTCTAACCTAAACAAAAACATCCATACAACTCGCACGTTCCTTTCACCACCACCCTCTCTGCGCCCCGGGGCCATGAGGAACACGGTAAGCAATGCACACACTCAAGTGACGAGGCTACAAGCTGACCCACCGGGACTGTGGTAGAGTAACTATCAAGGTCACATTCAGTTGGTGAGCTGGACGAGTGGTGGCCACGCTGTCATGAACATTTAGATGGTGGTAGTGGCTGCTGTTGTCGTCATGGTTATAGACGCTATGGATGGTGGGTGGTAGTAGTGGTGGTGACGAGTGACAGATGGTGTGGTGAGGACCGCCAATGTGGTAGGTAGCAGAAAAACACATTTAATAATACCGTATCAGACCACAAGTGCTCCACTCACTGCGAACCTTCAGGGA